AAACGTATAGTCACTAAAACCTGTGGTTCACTCAAGATAAACAACAACCCTAGCCCGGGACTTGGAGTGGTGAACTACAAATAGTCCCACGAGGTTTGGAGTGGTATTCAACAGGACAACCGTGACGCTACCCACCACCAAAATTAGGTTGTAGCTACACGAAAATTCAACACGTATAAGTCATGTTTCACAAGGAACTTTAGAACCCATTTAAAACATTAAATAAACGGTTCATTTTAGTCAGAAATCATTATCACTATGTATTAACCCGACGCAGCGGGACTCGAACTCGAGATCGAGAGGTTACTTTCAACTTGACTAAAAGCCCTTATTTAATCGGGTTTCTCGGGAACAACATTTACCTAAATGAACATGTCACAGTGGTGATCGTTCCTTAATTTTTAACCTGTCTGACTCACTCAGACGATGATACACAAACTATCTACAAGGTTCCATAACAAATTAGTGTATATTTGTTTTTCGGTCATGTGGTTAATTCACTCGGGGGAAAATGAGTGGCGTTAATATCGATCGACACGTGGAGTTTGGAGTGGTAAGTTGGTGACCAGCGTTGTCTTCATCGATAAATGATAACCCCTTTCCAGCAGAACAGNCTTCGTATAGGTTGATCTAACCGTGATCATAACTTTCAGTGCAGTAGTGGAATTTGCACATTTGTGAAACTTCTGGTGTGCTTCCGTAGAAAGTTCCTCTGATCATTTGCATTATATTTGTTATCAGATACAAAGGGCTTTGATTACAACTATTACTCTTAAGGGCTCTCAATGCAGCCATTTTTTCATAGATGTAAACACTGGAGGCCCATTTCTCAGTCATATTTCTGAGAACTTTCTCGGACTTAATACCCGCATGGTGTCCAGTGGTAAAACATTGTCACCGCTCTAAGTCATCTCTTGTGAGTTAGAAGCTGCTGACTGCAAAATAGTTTTCCCAGTGCTTTTTGTTACCGTAGATCGTGCTGTGAGCAGTACCTAAGACTTCTGACAAATGATCCCAGATACATACTTCTGAGGTGCACTTTATAGAACGTAGTGTTCTTATGCCGTTCATCTATGATTCGTCTTAATTAACTGAGTAATTAATTCTTGCGTTTAAAAATTCCCTAAGCCTACAAAGGTTTCACAGTGCGTTTCGTCTGTGTGAGATTATACTCGCAAGTACTACATTATTAATTGAACTAAATTTCACCGCAGCACGTGACTAGTTGCGTGTTTGTTACCGCTCATCAGGTATGTACACCATGTGCGCTATCATTGAATAGCTCGTATACATGAACCCTGAATAAACATTTTACTTACAGCTGTTTGATCGGTATATTTTTGAGTATTTCTTTGGTCAATTTCACATCTTTTTCACTGTTATTCTCAGGTCGCTTTTGTGAAGTAGAAGAAGCCCATAATCTTATCAAATCCTACACAGGACCTGTATCTTAAAATCGGGTATTCACAAACTTTTCTATACGTGCCGTAAATTTGAGAGAATAGTTTGTAAATGGGTAAATATTGGATTTGATGGAAAACAGTGCATTTGTGATAACATAGATAATGAGGGGACAGATTTTTGTGCTTTGGATGTCAGAGCTCGCACTTAATTGCACGGTAATTCTCTACACGATAAAAATTAATGGTTTCTAGTGAGATTGAGGAACAATAGTTGAAAAACAAGTAATAAAAATGATGGCAGTTGACGGGTCCCAGCTTAAAACTAAAACCATTTATGATGAGAACGGAAAATACGACAGAAGAACGAGAGCAAGTAACTACTATTTGACAAACTTTGCCATCCCATTTTGTGTAATTTTTCTCATAAAATCTTTATGGACACTTTTTAAAACATTGGTGGTTATGTGCAAGTTATCGTTGGCATTTCCAATGATCGAATACTGATTTCCATTCATTCAGGTTTTTGCTGACTACGAAAATTGTAAACAGGTATGCTGATAGTTCCTTCAGCTGCTAGATTGATTGTAGATTGATTTTCACCTGTCTTGAAACAAGTTGTACAAATACAAAAGGCGGTGGAAACGTATATGATAACCGACAAAGAGCACTGGACAGCAGTTTCATCCTGTTTGGGACTTGTCAGCAGTGAGTACATTTTGTGTCCCTGGTGCCTGTAAAAAAACAAATGAGCTAATCCAACCATTTATCATCTAAATCGATACAAAATGTTGCCTAGATTCGTGATAAAATTTGTGGAAGAGTCAAGTAAATTGCATGATGAATTTCTTTTTAAACTGATCAAAACACTCGTGAACTGAAAATCTTGGAAGTACTGCATAACTGTTTAGACTGTTTAATCTGATCAGAAGTGCGAACCCACCAAAGCGAAGTAGGATCATACCAAGGGTCTTACAACCGGGGAAAGCACACATATTACTAGATTCACCACAAGGCAACTTATCAACTTCGATACGTATATTTGTACACTATATAAACCCGCCTTTGAAAGCGTTATGTATGGTTTTTCTCATTTGTAAGCGATCCAATTTATCATATTATGAACTGCGTTTGGCTTACGTAGAAAGAATTCATTCTTGGTGTCCGTAATGAAGTCTTTTGCACAATACTGACAAATTAACCGTGTCACGTTGCAGAATACAGTAAATGCAGCCCGTGCGCAATCACTCCCAATACACTTTCTCGACTGGCACATGCAAACCAAGTGGTGTAAGCCTTATCAATCAATTTTCTGAGGTATAAAATGGCATCTTGAATTATTACAGCTGTGCTCATTGATTATTGTTCCATATCCTTATAAAAATGATCATCCTATATTTCCCTGAGAAGACCTCATCTCTTCTCTACTCCACTCTTTCACTGAATTCCCTTCGCGCCCGGTTAGTTACCTCTCCTTCACCGCTTACCTTTATCCTTTTTGGAACTGATCAACAAACGGTCCCATAGTTTTGGTTCGGAGGACACTGGAAGCGCGAACCACAAAGCTGGAACTCAAAACTTTCAATTCATATCTACACCGGTACTATCTAATAACCCGTAAGCGTGGGTACATAAGTTGAATGAGGCATTATTTTTTATCATTCCCTTGGTTGATTTACAGATACAGGTCCAAAAATCCAGTTTAAGTTTCAGTTTGTACAACCATTAACCATGCACTTTCGAGCGCCGGTTTTGATTGCTGTCTTTCGGCTGTCCGTCTGGATGAACATTAGGAGAAAGACAGAAAATGTGGAAAGTAAGATCAAATAGAAAATTTAGAATTTCAGTGCATTAGTGTTTCAGAGAATTCGGCAAGATGCATGAACGCCACTGTTTACGGAACTCAGCCATATCACTCAATGTCTCTAACCATCGTACGATATCCCGAGGTCCTCAGCCAGGGAGCCTAAGGGGACCTATGTGACCCAAACTCCTGGTTAGAGTTTTCATACCCTAGTACCAGGACTTTGCTTGACCACCCTAGTTTATTCCACTAAATACTTGCTTCGGCAAACATCGCTCGCCGTGGCAACCCATTTGGTGACGTGCATAACACATACCCCAAACAACGTAATCTATGGAGGTGGACCATTTGCTCCAGTGGGTGACCGCGGTTGTCCAAAACTCTGCACCTGACATCAGCATTGCTCATCCAGCTGCCCCACCAGATTCGTGCAATGCTGTGTAGAAAGCGGTGTGCAAACACCGACAGTCTATCTTTAGCCTATTTTCTTAGTGGCCAATTTTCTTCCCCCTATAGCAGAAGTGGCCGAGCTGCCGCAGCATACACTTGACCCATCACATACAATCGTATGTCGCGACGGCGCCACAAATGTCTCAAGTTTGCAAATGCCTATCGAGTCTTTTGTATGCTAGCTGACACTTCATCCGCGATGCGTCCACTGGGTGAGATATAGCTACCGAATAAACAAAACTTATCCACTTACTCTATTACTTCCCCAGTTAAACTCAGGCTGGGTGATGGACCAACCCAGTCTTGTAGCAACATTCTGCACTTTGAAGGTACAAAACGCATGACGAACTTGGCCACACTGGCATTCAAGCTAACCAGAAAAGATTGCAACTTACCTGGGTTTTCACTTAGCAGCACAATATCGTCTTCATACTGTAGATCAGACAACCTGCCACCTGGGAGTAAATCGATGCCACTATCCTCGCACGAGGATAGGGCTGTTTCCATTATCAAACCTATGGCAAAGACTGCTATTCCGCTGCGTGATCTCACTTCTTAGAATTTGGGTAATGGTTAAGTGTTAAAGTATTTTACGCGTGATGGGCTTGACGACCAAGAGCACTGTGCTGCGTAATGTTCCTCTAGTGTCCTGTGAATTCACACAGACTTTACCGGACATCGATTGCCCGCCCGTGTGAGAGAGCCAGTTGCACACAGCAGCATACATTTTATTCCAAAGTCCACAATGTATCGGTTCTCGAGTGCGTTCGTTGTGCAAACGTCGTGTGCCTGGTTGCGGCTGCCTACAGGATGACAAAACCCGATCAATGCTGAATGCTTTTCGAACCCACTTGGCAGAATAAAAAATAGAATGGTTTTCAGGCAAAGGACCACCACAACATACAATCGATTGCAATACAACTTGTCAAAGGGTGGAAAGATCAAAAATATAGAGTGGAATAATGATAACAATGTAGGATCATGTGGAATCTTCGATGGACACCCTGTGGATGCAATATGGACAACAGAAAATGGTGTCTGATTCTTATCTAAAGGTGGTTGAACCAAACCACCGTAGATTGCGCATGACTAATGAAGGCCAAAACATACTGGTTAACAGATTAGAGTCCGGTTGATTCGCTGGTTTATATGGATAGATTCATTAGTTGACGGACCGGAACTATATGAGTTGAATTAATTATTTTAACAATGAATGCTCGACTCAAATGAAAAATTTCGCGTAGTATACTGACAAATTTCAGTTCAATTACTCTTCTTATCATCACCATCTCAGTATTTTACGAGTTTTCAACCTCCTGTTTTTACTCAAAATTCACCATTGTCAGGCTGCTTCTCCAGACGAAAAAGCTTTGGTCGAGGGTGCCGCGGAGCATGGTGTGATCTTCTTACAATCCAAACCGATAGAGGGACAAGTCAATTCCAAAACCTATCGCATTGAATATCAGCGCACGGATGATTTGGACCACGCCCCTCCGGGTCATTCCAATTCGACCGGATCGGCCAAAACGATCGAGTATATTGTGGATGCCGTGCTTGAGTTCGACTCGACTCGCAAACGAATGACCGTGATGACACGATATCCGGACGGAACTTGTCACATTCACAGCAAAGGGGCAGAAACGTCGATGCTCGACGCGGAGGTATTACTTCCGTTTGTTTGTTAAGTATGCCTAAAAAATGAGATAAAATGGTCGGATAGTTTTATTTAATACGACAGCACTGCTTCAAATCGAGCGGTCTTCTTATGCAATTACATGTTGCATGAAAATAGTGGAGAATTTGTGTGTATAGTAAATGAACAGAAAAGCTAAGAATCACTGGCTAGCTGTTACTGTCTCATAAACAGTGTGTATCCATTGACACAACTGATCGAACCCAGGACATCACAGATAAAATGCAAGCATACTACTTACTCAACCGCCGGACAGATAATCAGGCTGTTTTGTTTCATTTTTGGTATACACGATATAGTCCGACTTATGTTTGTGAGTTTGTTGCAGGAATTGCACCAAGCTAGCATTAGCCTGCGGGGTTATGACTCGGTTGGTTTCGTTCCAATCTGACTATTTGTTATGAGAATGGCAGAGGAGGGTTGTGCTAAAGTGTATAAAGACAAAATAAAAAGGGTTTGGTCGGATACATGACGTTTGAGTGGGTCTGATGGTTAAGTTTGGGCTGTCCTGTCTCGGATTTTATCCTCTGTTGGGTAGATTGATTTTCTTCACTGAAGAGATAAACTCAAATCGAAGCAATTTCCTACCTTTCACTTCCCTCTTCATTTGCTCTAACCATGAAGAAGTCCACTGTACACTTGCGTGTCTTTTAACGGTCCTTAAGACTGATCTCCGAAAGAACTTGACATCTTTCGTCAATGAACTCATAATTTGGGTTCTATATTGTTTCAAGGTGGGCGGCACTTACAATCTAACCACCATCCTAACAAACCTATTTCTTTTTGTAATATGATCCATACTTTATCCCGGACTTCATTGGGTACCAATACCAAGGTTTCCTCAACATGAAAATTTCAGATCTGACTCAATTTTGTCTTCGCTAAGGAGCTAGCCATACCGTCAGATCACATAGTTTTACCAAGGACATTTTGTTTGACGCAGCAAATGGCGCGACTGGTTATTAATTAATTATGCAGTCAGTGGGTCTTACACATACTTTTGAATCATTTTATTGCATGACAAGGTATGCGGACCGCTTTTGGCTTCAAAGTGGCTAATGATATAGGTAATCTTGTATAGAGTCATTTAGCTGATTGTTGTGTTTATCAACCTTGTGATAGTCGTTGGGACCACGCACAGCTTACTCTCACAAGTGAACAAAAAGGTGTAAAATAATCTACTGAAACATCTGATGATGATCGCTCACACACAGTACAAACAATTAAATCTTCCTTAACTGGTCAACAGTTTGTTGCGTCCAGTCAGTTCATGACAATCGTGATTTCGCTTATCTTAATCCACACAATGAAGGAGCGCTATGTAATTTGCTTCCAGTGTTGCGTATTGGTCTGTAAGCTGTCTAGAGTCTAACCTGGACATGACTGCACATCTTGGTGGTAGATAACCTTGGATACGACTGTATCCAAGTCCTATGTATTTTATTAAGTTTGAAACGATTCACCAATTCACAGCTCAGTATTTAAGATGCCAGTACTCTGGAACAAACGGTCGGTCTTCGTAACAATGGAGCAGATAATGCGGGATTTCACCTCCGGCCTACTCTTGTGGTCGATGTGTAGTTTAATACAATGCTCCCCAGAGATAAAAATATTTAGCGAGATCAATTTTTAGATTCACTCAGTCAGTTTTCAGTTTCAAACGATCACAAGGCACGCTACTTGTAAACTCAAAACGAACACGTTTCATGAGCTCATGAATACACCCTCTACGTTTGGATTACAATCAAATAATTAGACTATCACGTTTGATGCGAAAATGCTGTGACGTTTTGGCATTCTTTCGTTTTCACAATGGCACTTTATATGACTGAATTGGTCTAATTATGTTTTTGATGGTTTACTTCGTAGTACATTCGTGTTTAGATGCGGGCTTTCTGGTTCTATCTACAATGTGAGGGAAGGAGTTGAGCAAGTGATGAGAGAATTTAAACTGTCTATTCAAAGTTTTCAGTCTAATTAAGGGTGTTTCATTTGCCTTCGGGTACAATCTCCTCGTTTCAAAAGTATGATGATTTCTTTCGGAGTGGAGTAATAACCGAATGATTATGAAGATCTAATCAAGAACCAGATATGGTTGTATAAATTCCTGAGGGAGATGGTAGGGAGGACAAAGGCAGTGGGCTGATAAAACACGATAAATGTGTATGCGGTGTAAAGGATAAGACTACGGGAAATTCAATGTTTTATTTCTTAGTAAAAACGTTTTAAAATACTCTTAGACCACTATTACCGATCAGAATGTGTGTAGAGTAAAACTACCCCCCTCCGAACGCACTTCTGAATAGGCAATCATCGCATGTTATACCACAAGAACAGAAAGAACCATTTTCTGGCAACTTTCTGACTAAAAGTATAACATACAGGTACGTTCCTCTTGAACTGTTTTGCACGATATTCCGGCAATAATGTCAGGATGACCATGTCTCGCTCACTCAAAACCTGTGATAAATAGTAATATGATAAACTATGAACTATTAGGGATGTCGATTTCGCCCTTTTGCAAATAAGTTTCTCAATGTGGACGTGGAATGGATACTGCCAACAGATGAAAACAATGTACGCAAATGTTCAATTAAAAATTGAATGGAAATATTTAAATAAAGAAAATATTCGGCGAATGAAAGCAGATCATAGAAGCGTTGGTGTTCTTATCCTACTCCTATTTTCCCCTTAATAACACTTATGGTCCTGTTGAATATGGGCAGTATCGAGTTAGTGAAAGTAAAAGTAAACCGTTGAAATACAATAAAGTGTTTGATTATTTCGGCCACATAGAAGGCGTAAAGGTTAGACAACTAGTATGCTATTATTCACAATCGAACTACGAGTTTAATGTTTACAATGCTGGTAACTGTCTTCGTTGGTAAATGTTTGAAGATGCATACTACTCCATGTTTAGAGCGTTTCATTAAATGACAGTTTTGTCGAGCCGCTGTTGCTGATCGAGTAAGACTACAGATCGGGAGATACAATTGTGTTTTCCAGTTCTGTCGGACTGCCGGTTTATGCCTACAATTTTTAATAATACATTTTCGAAAGATACCTGATGACCGCTTTTTTCACTTAAAAATGTCTCAGGGTTCCTGAATTGGTTGTCATTTCTTATCTTGTTTTTTGTCTAAGCCCAAGTGGTCTCATTATTCAAATCAAGATGAAACTTTGAAAAGCTTTAAAAATTTTGTAAACTACAAATTCTTACTCCACTACAGGTACGGATGGTTTGCCAGCTGATTCCGTAGCTTGGTGAATCAACTTTATTTAAAATGAATCCGCGTGCACTTGCCCTATTCCAGGCTGTTATAGGCCTGTCACACACAGGTCGACTCCAAAGGTATCCAACTGTTCAATCTTTTCTAGAGTACTATTTTCATACCCTTGATGTCTGCCCTAAACTCGACTGAAAAGGCGATTCTCAAACCCTTATAGTAGCCTATGAACATTTCCGATGGACAATGACAGCTTGCTATAAGGTTTAACATAATCACTTCGTACTCAGTCTGCATCTTTATTCACTTGATTAATAAGTCTTTAACTGACCCTGTTAAATGATTTCGATGTTCTTTTCCTGGCTATTTCTCAGCATTCTAACCAATTTCTCGGTCTTTATTATTACGCAAAGTGGAATCGTTTCATTGCCCGAAGGATTCGGTAGCTTGGATACTGATAGAGCACGAAACGCTAGAAATAGGAAGCCGTCGTCTAAACCCTTAGTCAACAATTGCGTGAAGACAGGTAAAGCCTTTTGCCAGTCTTGTGATAAAACCTTACATTTCGATAGATAAAAGGCTATACCGAACTGCATGACGGATAATGCTAACCTACACAGGACTTTTTGAACGTCCTGAAAGGAGTTGTAGAGTATAAGTATGTCGTTAGAATATTCCAACTCACAGAGTTGATCAACTTGGAGGAGCTCCACAGCGGAAGCTCTGCAGTTTTCTTGAGCGCCATTTAGGATTTTGTCTATTGCGGAATTCAAATGAAAGGATGAAGCTATAGGCCATTAGGCAGCCTGGTGTTTTTGAGTAGACGGCTTTTAGAAGGTTTACATAAGTCTTAGGAACACCGCTTCATAACAGAAAAACCCAGAGGGCTTCACTTTCGAGTGAGTCAAACGCAGCACGTATGTCTAAAAAGAAAACGACGGTCGGTCTACTGAACGTTTAATGTTGCTGGAGGATAAGACATGGCGTAAATACGTGAACCACGCGGCTCGGGCCAGAGCAGAATCCAGCTGTTTCTTTGCGTATATGACGCTCTCTCATTGAACTGAGCCTGAAAAGGATAAACAACGTTAACACGTCGCATGCAACGGAGATGAGACTAATTCCCCGGTGATTCGAGTAATTGTGATGTGTCTTGAAAACAGGTACGACCTCCGCCAAACTCCATTCTGATGGAATGGATTCAGTAGTCCAGATCGTTTGGAATAAGGAAGTTATTTCTCGGACAAAACTTGCACCACCGTCTTTGAAAAGGGTCAGAGGGAGCTCATATGGGCCGGACGATTTGTGGATTTGTCGAAAAAGTTTGTGTGCATTGCCAGAAGCAGAAGTCACTTCCGTCTCGGAGGTGAGTTGTGCCCATCAGGTCTCTAAATCCTCTTTTAGGAACCGTTTCAGTTCAGCACTGAGAGTCCTGCAAACTGTGCTGTATTCATTACCTGAAGAGATGTTTTGACGAGTGTCCAGGAGCCTAAGAGAATGTGCCGAGACCCAGTGATTGGCAGTGGGTCCGGTGAAGCCACATGCTTCTCTGCGAACTTACGTGTAGCGTTACAAATGTGAGTTCACTGGTTATCGACGTTCGAGGATGACAGACTGTCTAGATCAGCAGCCAACGTGTTTTGATAGGTGATAACTACGTTTGGGTCGGTCAGTTTCAACAAATCGGATCTTCCGAGTGACGTTTCGGCTTTCCACTAAAATGCAGAGAGAATTTCGCGCA